TATACTTTCGAAGGCTAACATGAAAGCTGTGGAAAGACACAATAATGGAAGTTATGAAAAAGAAATTGCTGTCAAATTAGGATTAGGCGAGCCAAATGTATATATTTGAAATAAAAGAATGGGAAACATTTAAAAAAGATTTTACACTTATATTACTTACAACTAAATTTAAGTTGTTTTCTAGGTTTAAAGAAGTACACACAGAAAACTACAGATTTTAAAATTTCTGTATATGTTTATCAATAAAAAAGCACTAAACTATAATCAGCAGATCTATACATGAGATTTAAGCCTTAGTCACATATCACAAGGTTGGTAAAAGAACCACTCTATCTATTGATTCATCAATCTGTTGCCTATCATCTGTTTTTATGTCATCATATTTCTATCTATATTTTTAATTGCCCATTTTAACCAACATTTTCAAGTAAGTGACAAATCTCAGCGATATAACATATGGAGGCTTCCTCTCCAGAGGTAGTAGCAGGTTGCATGGACACTCTCCTGCCCCTTCAGAGGTTTTTGCATGTGTATATTCTGATTCAGTCTGTGCTGATTATAAAACTTAATATCTATTGAAGATAATTTAATTTTCCCTGAAGTTTTCAGAAGAGAAAGAGAGCCTCTTAACATACAGGTGGTCAAACTAGGTAGCTGTGTATTTGTTTTTATTAGTTTGCTTTTGTTTTTTCCCTTCTGACTGAGTTATGGGCATTTACTCATAGCATTAAGTTTTAGAAAAATGTGATTATGGTGGGGGAATTGAATGGCATTTCATCAAATATAGGATCTTTTAAATTTACTTTAGTTTCCAAATTTTGTACATTTAGGTTACTGATGTGATTTGGTTCTGTGTACCCACCCAAATCTCATCAGGTAGCTCCCATAATTCCCATGTGTTATGGAAGGGATACAGTGAGAGATGATTGAATCCTGAGAGTGGATCTTTCCCATGTTGTTCTTGTAACAGTGAATGGGTCTCATGAGATCGTCATCTTAAAAATGAGAGTTTCCCTGCACAAGCTTTCTCTTTGCCTGCTGCCATTCACGTAACATGTGACTTCCTCCTTTTTGCCTTCCACCATGATTATGAGGCCACCCCAGCCATGTGGAGCTGTAAGTACAATAAACCTGTCTTTTGTAAAAAGCCCAGTCTCAGGTGTGTCATTATCAGCAGTGTGAACATGAACTAATATAGTTACTAGACCTTTTTAATTTTAATAATTTAAACTTGAAAGAGACCTGCCATGATAATATTTTGACTTATTGTGCAATTTATCCTTTGGATAAATTACTAGAAGTAGAACTTCTGTATCAAAAAGTATGAACAATTCAAGGATTTTGCTATATGTAGCTAAAGTACTTTACAGAGCTTCTTCCAATTTAAATTCCCTTCAGCTAACTTATTGCATCCTATTCAAAATAAATATTGACATTTTAAATTTTATCAAATTGCTAGGAAGAAATAGTACTATACTACTTTAATGTACATTTGGTTCCAAGGGGTACATATCCCTCATATGTTATCGATGGGTTTTTGTTTGTTTCTTGTGAATTGACTGAATTCAGTACATTCTTCCAAGAGTTAATTGTGATTGATCTTATTTACTACAAATATTTACCCACCTTGTTTACTTTTTAATTCTGTCTATGGTGTCTTTAGGAGTACAATACACCTACAAAACTAGAATTAGAGAAATTTTATTGCTGCCATTAATTGCTTTTATTTATTTTTTAAAGAGAAAACATTTAAATGATTAAAGGGCATCCTTGTAACTAAGAGTAAATACATCAACAAATTCCTTGATTAGAGTTTATGAGTTTTAAAACTTGTCATTAAAAGTTGAAAAAAGGAAGACATTATAGCTTTGCTATAATAAGATGCTGCTTTTATAATATAAAATATGGTTACTCACTTGAAAAATAAACTCAAGAGAATACATTTATTTATTTATTTTGTCATTTAGTCATCCAGGCAAATCCTAAATGGTGAAGTTGCAATAATATTATTGGTATGGGGTTGGAATACATCTTTTAGCTGTCTGTGTGATTTTCTGAAAGATAATGTTTCTTTTCTTTTTTTCTTTCGTTAACTTCTGGGGTACATGTGCAGATCATGCAAGATTGTTGCATAGGCACATTCATGGCAAGGTGGTTTGATGCCTCCATCCCCCTGTCACCTATACCTGACATTTCTCCCCACCTTATCCCTCTCCACCTCCTCCCACTGCCCCTCCCCTAGTCCCCGCAAAGGACCTCAGTGTGTGATGCTCCCCTCTCTCTGTCCATGTGTTCTCATTGTTCATCACCCGCCTATGAGTGAGAACATGTGGTGTTTGATTTTCTGTTCTTGTGTCAGTTTGCTGAGAATGATGGTTTCCAGGTTCATCCATTTCCCTACAAAGGACATGAATTCATTGTTTTTTATGACTGCATAGTATTCTATGGTGTATATGTGCCACATTTTCTTTGTCCAGTCTATCATTGGTGGGCATTTGGGTTGGTTCCAGGTCTTTGCTATTGTAAACAGTGCCACGATGAACATACATGTGCAAGTGTCTTTATAATAGAATGATTTATTGTCCTTTGGGTATATACTCAGTAATGGAATTGCTGGGTCAAATGGAATTTCTATTTCTAGATCCTTGAGGAGTTGCCACACTGTCTTCCACAATGATTGAACTAATTTACACTCTCACCAACAGTGTAGAAGTGTTCTTATTTCTCCACATCCTCTCCAGCACCTGTTGTCTACAGATATTTTAATGATCGCCATTCTAACTGGCATGAGATACTATCTCAGTGTGTTTTGATTTGCATTTCTCTAATGACCAGTGATGATGAGCATTTTTTCATATGTTTGTTGTTCTCATATATGTCTTCTTTTGAAAAGTGTCTGTTCATATTATTTGCCCACTTTTGGATGGGTTTGTTTGTTTGTTTTTCTTGTAAATCTGTTTTAGTTCTTTGTAGATTCTGGATATTAGCCCTTTGTCAGATGGGTAGATTGCAAAAAACTTTTCCCATTCTGTTGGTTGCTGGTTCACTCTAATGGTTGTTTCTTTGGTTGTACAGAAGCACTGAAGTTTAATTAGATCCCATTTTTCTGTTTTGGCTTTTGTTGCCATTGCTTTTGGTGTTTTAGTTATGAAGTCCTTGCCTATACCTATGTCCTGTATGGTTTTGCCTAGGTTTTCTTCTAGGATTTTTATGGTGTTAGGTCTTATGTTTAAGTCTTTAATCCATCTGGAGTTAATTTTAGTGTAAGGTGTCAGGAAGGGGTCCAGTTTCTGCTTTCTTCACATTGCTGGCCAATTTTCCCAACACCATTTATTAAACAGCAGATCCTTTCTCCATTGCTTGTTTTTGTCAGTTTTGTCAAAGAGCAGATGATTGTAGATGTGTGATGTTGCTCCAGAGGCCTCTGTTCTGTTCCATTGGTCTATGTCTCTGTTTTGTTAGCAGTATCATGATGTTTTGATTACTGTTGCCTTGTAGTATAGTTTGAAGTCTGGCAGTGTGATACCTTCAGCTTTGTTCTCTTTGCTTAGGATTGTCTTTGGTATGCAGGGTCTTTTTTGGTTTCATATGAAGTTTAAAGTGTTTTTTTCCAGTTTTGTGAAGAAGGTCATTGGTAGTTTGATGAGAATAGCATTGAATCTATAAATTATTTTGGGCAGTATGGCCATTTTCATGATATTGATTCTTCCTAACCATGAGCATGGAATGTTTTTCCATCTGTTTGTGTATTCTCTTATTTCCTTGAGCAGTGGTTTGTAGTTCTCCTTGAAGAGGTCAGGGAGGGACATACTAAAAACATTTTTTCAATGAAGAAAAAAATAAAAGAAGAAGAAAACAAAAAAAAATTTATAGCATTTCATATACAGCTAAATGAAATGTGATATATATATATATATATATATATATATATATATATATATATTTGCCAGTATCCTAAAAGTAAATCTCAGTACAAGTGGAATAACTTTCATTACAAGGACAAAATATGAGATATAAATTGTGTGTGTGTGTGTGTGTGTGCATGTGCGTAGTGTTATACAGAGCAAAGTGTATATGTTTTATTATGATTTAAAGCCTGAAGACATTTTTAAAGCATCAACCATGGAAATTAAATGAATTTAAAAAAGAAAGAGACTGAAACCTAAAAGAGGAATTAAAACAATCACTGAAAGCTACTAAAATTTTAATACAGCATAGTTTTTTATTTTTAATTTTTGTGGTTATAAGGTGGGTGTATATATTTGTGGGGTATATAAGATGTTTTGATACAGGCATGAAATGTTAAATAATCACATCACGGAAAATAAGGTATTCATCCTCTCAATCCTTTGTGTTACAAGCAATCCAACTACACTTTTTCAGTTATTTTTAATTGTATAAATAAGTTATTATTGACTGTAGTCACCCTCTTGTACAATCAAATAGTATTTCTTATTCATTCGTTCTATTTTTGTATCCATTCACAACACCCACCTTCTCCCCCTCCCCCAACTCTTCCCAGCCTCTAGTAACCATCTTTCTACTTTCTTTTTCCATGAGTTCAATTGTTTTGATTTTTAAATCCTACAAATAAGTAAGAACATGTGATATTTGTCTTTCTGTGGTTGCCTGTTGTCACTTAACATAATTTTCTCCAGTTCCATCCATGTTGTTGCAAATGATTGAATGTCATTCTTTTTTATGGCTAAATAGTACTCCACTGTATGTAAGTACCACATTTTCTACATCCATTCATCTGTTGATAAACACTTACGTTGCTTCCAATTCTTAGCTATTGTGAACAGAGCTACAGCAAACAAGGGAGTGTAGATATCTCTGCATTATACTGATTTACTTTCTTTTGGGTATGTACCCAGCACGGGGATTGCTGGATCATACGTTATCTATTTTTAGTTTTGTGATAAATCTTCAAACTGTACTCCACAGTGGTTATACTAATTTATATTTCCACCAACAATGTATAGCGTTTTGTTTTAAGATTTGTAGAAATCAAAATATTTATTCATATAATTTTTAACTAAAGTTGAAGGTAATAAATCTTCCATGGTAATGATTTAAGTGCAAGTGATGCTTGGCTTTCTTTCACATTCATTTCTTTTCTTCAGAGTGAAGGCATATCAGTTATTCTTGAACAAGTCAATACAACTCTGCAAAAGGGAGACATTGTTCCTAGCATATTCCATTTCCAGTTCAGACATTTCAATTAGATGCTTCTAAATGCTGCCACTCTCTTCAATTTGAAATTTGTTAGTTCTTCTTTTGCAGATCCAGGAAGTTGTTCAAATTTCCGGCAGCACTTCTGCTGATGTGCCTCAGCCATCTTGACGTCTTTGCTCTTTAACCAGGCCTCATTCAGAGCTTTGTTTGAGTTCTCATAGTCAATGAGGGCTTTGGTGTATCTGTGTAAGAGATCCTTAGCAGCTTTGATGTTGCGCTTGTAGTATTGGAGGAGCTCTGTTAGCTTTAAATCTTCATCTGATGAGACTCGATCCTTTATTTTACCATTTTTCAAATAGCTCAGCAACCCCAATAGGTACTTTTTGATGACTGTGGGCTCTTCTAAAGCCAGGGTATGTAAGCAGGCTGCCGTGTGGATATAGTCATCGGCAACATTTTTATGAAATCTGGTCATTATGTTAGCTTTCACACAAGACTCTTTGATCCTATTGTAATAGTTAATAAGGAAGTTCTTCTCTTGCTCAAAGAAGTCATCTACTTCCTTAACTTCAGTAAAAAGGACTTCTTCAGCACTTTTCACCATACTTTCGAAGAAGCCCCCAAACATCTCTTTAGTATTTTTCCGCCTAACACTTAGATCCTGATCATATTCCAGGAAAACATGAAAGTTGCGATCTTTACTGAGAACAGGGTGAGAAGAAAGCCACTGAAGAAAGATTTCATAGGAGGATACAGATTTCTTAAAAACAGCAACATACTGATCTTCCAGTTCTTGTTTCATCTTGGCAAGTTCTTCTTTGGTCATAGACCCTTTCCCTTCTCCCACTTTCTGCATCTTCTCTCGAGGACCATTGAAGTCAGACTTCGTAGGAGCAGGTGGAATAATAAGCCCAATGTAGTCTGTTGTTTCAGTAAGAGTGTCACATAGCCACATAAAGTCTTCATGTTGCCTTGTAACAGAAAACTCTGGGCTCTGAAACGTGGGCAATGTGGTCTTTGTGTGCACTATAAATTTGACTTTATCTCTCTCACTGAGTGCACCACGAATGTCAGTCTGAAGGAAGGGATCAACATTGAGGTCCACAGATATAAAATACACAGATACAAAAGATTCCCTTTTCTTCACATCCTCAACAGCGTTTGTTATTGCCTGTAGTTTGGACATAAGCCATTTTAACTGGAGTGAGATGATATCTCACTGCAAGTTTGATTTGTATTTCTCTGATGATAATGATGTTGAGGACCTTTTCAATATGCTTGTTTGCCATTTGTAAGTCTTCTTTTGAGAATTGTCTATTCAAATATTTTGCCTATATTTTGATCAGATTACCAGATTACAATATTTTCTTACCTGTAGAGTTGTTTGAGCTCCTTATATATTGGGAACTGGAGCAAAGGTCAATTTTGCTGTTTTGGAATATACAATAATTATTGTCAACAATAAAGTAATAGGTGTTTCTTTATAGCAGTGTGAATGGACTATACAACTAGATAATCTCAATTAACCTAGCTTCTAGTTTGCTATTTCTTTATTCTGTCAGCTCAACTCTTCTGTTGAGACCCACTAGTAAATTTTCATTTCTGTTATTTTACTTTATAACTCCAGAATTTTTGTTTTTTTAAAAAATAATTTCTATTTTTTATTGATTTTCTGTATTATGACATTGTTCTTATACATATCTTTAATTCTTTAGACATGGTTTTTACTAGTACTTAAAAAAATATGTGTATGTGAGTGTACACCTACACAGATATATATTTAACTCATTAAAAGTCTTTGTCTAATAAATTAACATCTGAGCTTCGTCAGGCACAGTTTCTAGTGAATGTATTTTTGTTTACAAAGAAAATACGAAGAAAAAAGAAGGGCCCTTCTTTTCTCTTTTTTTGTAGGTCTCGTTAATTTTGTGGAAAACTAGATATTTTAAATTGCATAACATGAAAAATATTGATTTGGGATTCCTCACTTTCCATATTTTTTGTTGTTGCTGTGTTGCAACACAATGTGTGTCAGCATTTGACTCCAAGGTTTCATTGATTAACAGCTCTACCTTAGTACTCACATCCTGCTTTGGTACTCACATCCTGCTTTGTAGAGTCTCATCATCAACCAGAAGTGAGAGATAATGGCCTTTTCATACTGTTTCTGGACAAGCCCGTTGCCCGGCACATGTGCACAGCCTTCTAGATCTCTAGATGTATGTCTTCCTAAGAACATTTTATTCCCCATATTTCTTAAAGATATAGAACTTTAAGACCTAAAGTTTTTGGTTAGTTCCTGTTTGTTGTTTCAACAGGTATTGCTGCCCTAATTGGCGGTGATAAACTGTTATCACTGATTTATCACTGATTGTTTTTGACAAATGTCTTGGGTATAGAGCTTATACCAGGGAGTGAATGCTGAGTTACATAAACAAAGATAAGCTCTGTAAATGAGAATTCTCTAGGGAGCTGCCAGACATGCCAAACAGTAAAAATATTTGTATTTGAATCTTGGGGGAAAGCTCTAGTGCTCCCTCCAGTAGCTGTAAGACGGTTGAATTTTACAGGTACTGTTGTCTCAAGACTAATGAATTTCAAGGACAATGTGAAGCTGTGGCAAAGAGAACAGAAGTAGAGAAAATTAAAATGCCACAAAACTGGCTGTCATTATGAAGAGTCAGCTATTTTTCTTCAAAAAATGCACATTGCAATGTTACAAGCCTTTGGCTAACTTCTAGAGTTTTTAAAAAGTTGATTTTAACCATATGTTTGTAAGTGTTCTGTGTGCTTATGGTGGAATTGACTGATTTTGTTATTCCATAACTCTTGTGTGGTCTTTTAACTGGAATTCCAACTTATTACTCTTTTCCTCTCACAATCCATTCTTTATAGAGAAGCCTAAGAGAGCTAGTAAAAGTGTAAATCAGATCTGATCACTCCTCTTACAAAAAACTTTTGAATTGGTATTTCTTAATATTTAGAACAAAGTTTAAGTTTCTGATTATGGTCTACAAACCATTTTGGCTTAAGAGACTTTATATAAGTGAGGTTCAAAAACAGCTAAAAGGTAGTGAAAAGAGCATGAGGAATTACTTTGAAGCTGATATTTATAACAAGTGAATTGCATTTTAAGGGGAGGTGGAGTGTTGTTTTTTGTTTGCTTCTGACAATTGTAGTGGTACAAGTCTCTTATCTGTTGTGTTCTCTTGGCTCCTAACTGGACGATTATTGCATCATCTTTTTCTCCCTAGAAACTACAACTTTCTGATTTCTGAAAACCTATTCTTCCTTATTACATTATTCTCCTGATACATTATCAGGTATCTTTTTACTTTCCATCTGAATTTTAATCTATTGTTGTAGACAAGGAGCTGTGCAACTTCAATCCCTCTTCAAGGAGGGAATTATTGCCCAAATCTGAAGATGGTAGCCAGCCAAGGAGTTTCTGCATTCAGTTCCTCTGGGCCAGGCTCAGTTGCAGGAAGGAAATATCACCGAGGTTGTGCATTCACAACCCATGGTAGTCATTTACCCTGAATTATATATTAATTTACCTTGACTATGTAATTGAGATTGAGATACTTCTAAGTTGGCACTGTTGCACTTTTGGTCCTTGGTGTGCAAGTCCATGGCCTAATGAAAGCCTCTGAATATGCCCTCTCTGCCTTCAGCCAAGGTAATAAATTTAAAAAAATAGTGCATAATGAAAAACTGGGCATAGATGGAGAGTATAGAGTTACTATTAAGAATCTAAAAGATGAGAGGATGAGGATTTTCATCATATTTGCTATGAATTTACCAGTTGGGGCCACTGCAGAAACTACATGTATCCTGTAGAATAACCGTGAATTACAGCAAGCTCAAGTAAATAGTAGCTCTAATTACAACTACCATGACAAAGACAGCATCTTTGTTAGAACGATTAATATGGCCTCAGGTATATAGTTATTCTCTAGGACTATGTTAACTCTCTTATCACAATGTAGTCTAAAGAAATACGGACAATTCTTTTTTTTATGTCCTGAAGAACATTACATCGATTCATTGCACCAATAATAGGTAGATCTGGCTGGACGAGCAAGAGTTGGCTAGCCTTGCTGCAGGCTCAGTAAGACAAATTTGCTCTAATGAGTAAAAAATAAACCCTAAAAAGATTTGAGGGCTAACCACTTGAGGAAAATTTTAGAGGTTTAGTGGCCAGGGCTTGCCAGTAAATCCTTGTCCAAAGTAAAAGATAAACAATTACATATTTCTTCTTCTACCATGACTAAGAAAGCACAGTGCGTTGTGGGCTACCTTGTGCTCTGGAGACAGCATGCTTAACACTTAGGGATACCACTTTGCCTGTATGCTTCTTTGAGTATGGATGGAGCAGGAAAGAGCTCTGAGCAGACTGAGGCTGTGATATAAGCCATACTTCTTTTTGTACTATGCAATCTGTTGGAACCTACATGTTAAAGGTATCAGTGTTAAGAAATGGGACCATGTTGATTTTGTATAAAGAACAATAGAGGTTCCTGGGATTCTGGAGAAATGCCATAAAACCAGGGAATGTTATGCCTTTTAAAAAATAACTCTTGGCAAGCTACCAGTCCTGACCATGGGACTGCAAGTGACCATGTCAATAGAACTATCATGAGCTAGGTCTTGTTAAGTGTTACTAAGTCATAAAGTCAGATAATACCACCAGTAACCTCATTGTAAGATGGAAGTGTGGTATCCAGGACTGAGCACAAACATGTTCTGAGGACAAAAGAAATTTGCATAAACAGGTAGTTCAGGTCTATGGCTCCCACTAGTAGTAGTACAAGCATTTCTCTCAGCTCATTTCTGTGGCTATATGATATATTCTAGGACCAAAAGAAAAAAAAATGAAAAATTTCTGAGTTTAACTTCCAGATGTATTAGCTTGGTATGTAAGTGTAGGCCAAATATGGACACCAGCTACACTATAACCTTACTCAATGGTGCCTTGAAAAACTGGTACAGAAAAATCTTTCCAGTGGGGAGAGTGGTTGTGATGCATCCAGGCATTGACACAGTGTGAAAAGAGAAGTGACCCAAGGTTAGAATCCACACACACACTCATGGAAAAAGAATGGAAGATTATGGACAAGAAGATGTGGGATAAAAGTATGTGGTTGAACATATGAGAGTAAAGGAGTTTGAGGAACTTTGTATTTCACATAATAACCACCAGTGACTATTGACCATTGAGGAGGCACTAAACAACCAAGTAGACAAAAGGGTCCAGCCAATTGTCATTAGCCAGACTCTTTCAACAACTACTCCAATGCTGTCAAAATTGGCTCATGGATGAAGAGGCCACAGTGGCCACTTCATTGTAGATATAGAAACTGTGCCTATGCCCAAAATTGTGAACTCCCACTTACAACACCTGATCAGTCTTAGCCTATGAATGTCCTACCTACTAGCAGCAGAATTCTGAAACCTCAAAAAGAACCATTTCTTCAGGAGACCAAAGTGCCACTTGACATAAAGTTGATTATATCAGGGCCCTCTATTCCACAATAGCAGGGTTTTTAAAATTTTTTTTTTTTTATTTTTCTTGATGCAGACGGATGTGTATTGTGATTATTGGTTTTCTTTTCTTGTCAGCAGAATTTTGATCAGCACATTATCCAGAGACTTAGAGAGTATTTTATCCATTGCCTTGTGGTCCTACATAAAATTGTGTCAGACCAGATAAAACTATTTCACAGCAAAGGAGGTATGGAAATGGGCCCATTACTGTGAGAGCTATTGCTAATATTAAATGCTGTGTTGCTCCAAGTTGCTGTCCTGAGAGAGCATTGAAATAGCCTGTTGAAGTTATAGCTGGTGTGCTAACTTGGCAGCAGTATTCTGCAAGAAGAGTTGCTATAGTCTAGGTTGCATTGTACACATTTACATAAATAGCTATATGTAGTGCATGTCCTCTATGGAAGGAATGTATGAATACAGAAACCAAGGTGTAGAAAGAAGAATGGTACCTCATACCATTAATTTCAGAGACTGATGAGGAATTTGCATATCTTGTTTTTACAACTCTGGGTTCTGCATTGCTACAAGTCCTAATTACCAAAGGGGAAACATTTTTACCAG